TTTTTACTTTAATTTAAAAAAAAAAGTCCATAAGATTGTCCTGGCAAAAAAAAAAAAAAAAAAAAAAGGTTTAGAGAAGCTTCAAACTTGGAGTACTTTGAAAGTGTGTTTAAAATATGGGGGAAGGTGTTGGTGAGGGAAGAGGAAGGAATCTAAGCTACACCTATCCTCAGATTTTGACTGAATATTTTATAAAATCAGAATGAATATGTGGTGTGAGGTCTAAACATTATATCAAGTGTATTATTTTATGGCGAGATAAATTTTTTGTCTCTGTCTCCTAACCTAAGTGATTTTTACGTCTGGAGGATGAGAACTATTGGTAAGAAATCAAGAATCCATCTAGCCTTTGTTCAGTATTTTGAATTTGCTAGTAACTTTACACTGTTGTCTTCTGCCTGTTAACAGTGAATGGTGTACTTGCATTAGCAGTGTCCCTTCCCCTTGCCTTTCCAAGAGCAACTCATTTGAAAATTTGACAGATCAATACTTTAATGTGCGTGCTTAAAACTGCTGCTTAGCAGACATGTTTGCAGATAGCATTTCCTGATCATTTGTTTATTGACCTGAATATAAGTATAGATATAATGTTTTCATTCAAAATATGCTGAAATACACTCTACTGTAAGAAAAAATATTAACAGTTAAGGGCAATGATGGTCTAAATAAGTAATTTTCAGTAGGATTTTTCTACAAAGGCATGTACTATCAAAGGCAGACTTAGTAGTTGTCCTGTCCTCTTCTCCAGGCTTCAATGCAACTCTGGCTGGAGTGAGAACAAATGAGTTAATGTGTATTGTTTCTGGTACTACCTCATACAGTAGGCTGCAAAGTCTCAATATATCACTTTGAATGGAATCTAGATAAGTTCACCACAAACAAACATGCTGCAAAACCTAAGCAATTATCAGTTGATTCAGAACTCTGATTAGATAAAGCAGCATTTTTTTTTTTTTTTTTTGCTGACTAGTTTTCTGGACACCAGTATACATGCTGCATATTGAAAAAAATCAAATTTCTTCGGCCTGTCAAGTTGTTCCTCATTTCTCATGCCCTTCTAATAAGTATGTGGGTATTCATAGTTGACACAAATAGCTTATTGTTATCCTCATGAAGAAACACTGGAGAGGAAGTAGATTGTCTTAAACTGTTAAATGAACTATGGTATAGCAATGTAGGTTTGTGTGTAGGAATAGAGTTCAGCTATTTCTTTCTAGATTCCTATCGGTGTTTTACAGTTGTTAATGTTTAAATGTATCCTGGCTAAGTGTTGGTGAACGATGTGAGTTTTCTTTGAGCTTTTCAGGTAAAAGACTACTTTGGTAGATAACTGCCCATTTCCTTCTGTGCCTCCCAACCCACAAATTACGAAGTACTATAATGTTTATTTTTTATTATTGATTAAGATCTCATCATACATGTTTTCCATTTTTCCCTACTCAATGACTTGATTAAAAGCAGTGCTTCCTCATGACCACAAGCATGGCAGAATAAACTGTGTCTTTTATTTACAGCTGAGACCACAGTGATGCTTTATTAATCTGGCACTAAAAGGCTAAACTTGGAATTATTTTGTGCCTACACTTTGTAATACTTGTGTTCTTGCTGCTGCTTTTTTGGGCACCCATTAGCGCTGATAACTAGCAGTAATCTTTCAGTTATTAAATTTTGTGTGTACTTTGAAATAACTTTCAAAGAAGTATTGCACAGTGTAGAGAGACAAGGCATACAGAACAAAACTTTCTTGTATTCATTGTGTGAGTATCTTGGAAATGATTTGGTAGATGATAAATATCAGTTACAAGCCATTATCTCCTTCAGAATAAGACGGACTAAGTGGTAGACTTGTTTGAGTACTCCAGTGAAATGTATGATTTTATGATGAGTGGAGGATCTTCTGTTACTTGATAAGCTATGGTCACACACAGAACTGTGTAATTGTGTCCTGCACTAGATACTAGGATGCTGTCATCTTTCTCTTAAAAAGCAGAGCATGCAGGAAAATGTTTGCCTTATTTCTTAAAACTGCTGTGACACAGTATTACTATGTTAACTACTTCAAATGTGTATCATGTTTCAGTGTCTTTGGATAGAAATTTTACATCTGTTTCTTGATTCACTCTTACCAGACTTCCAAAAGAAAGAAAAACAAAATAAAACCCCCATGTGTATTGTTTCTTACTAGAAACATTATGTGACTTTTTGTAAACCAGAATATGTTATCAAATGCTGGCAGTTTTCTTGGAGAAAGCTTTAAAAGCTGCTTTGTTAATACAAACACAGCTCCCTTAATGCCACACTTGAAAACTGAGTTTGTTGCAAACGTGGTGTTGTGCTTTCTGATGGTAGCGTGTTTCTCCCTGGATAGGAATAATTAAGTACAATTACACAATTGCATACTTGACTGGAGGTTTTGTTTCAGGATGGTGAACTTATCAAATGATCTTTTATGACTTCAGGACTTGCTTTCTGAGCTGAAAGCATCTCAGGATTCCTCATTGTTATCAGGTTGCTGTGGCTACTCGGTTTAGTGGTGAAGAAGGAAATGGCAGTGTGTGTGTCACCACAAAAGTCTGTGGGGAGCTTGAATTGCTGATACCAGCAAACCTTCAGTGCATTGTATTAGGTGTTCTCTTGATAAAGCAACATAATACTGAAAAAGATAGTACAGAAAGATTTGGATTGTGTCAAACCTTGTGTGCTAGCAGTTGTTTCTTTCTTGTTGAGACTCAAGCTGATCTGAATCAATAAGAACCTGAAAGTGTTCTCTGAGCAAGGTTTAGAGATATCACTCAGGTTTTTGTAGTTTAGAAAATGAGAACTTTTTGATTTTTGCTGTCTGTTAGGAGTGTGGGCATTTGTTTAATTTCTTCTTCCTAGAGATGCGAAAGCCTACTTGGTAAATGTAATGATCTGAAAATTGTTGGGGATTCTGCCTTATGCCACATACGATCTCTGGATATGTTGTAGATGCAGCTATTTGTATGAATTCCATGATACAAAGTACTTGAGAGAAGTACAGGCATGAGCCTGTGCTGTAAGTTTTGGATAAGATTGACATAATCTGTTTGTATAATAGCCTCTATAGCTGACACCTTCTGTAGGTGATAGTTGTGTAAATGCTTCCTTGGATTCTGTGCTGATTATATATTTGGTATTAATACCTAAGATGGAGGAACAGAATAACATTTCTCACATGAAAACTTGTGTGCCTGCAGTACAGAGAATACTTGAAAGTGTAAATCGAGTTCAGACCGTTTTGTTTTACCTAGTGAAGATAAATTCTGTTTTTACCTCATTGGGATGCAAGCTGCCTCGCAAAAACAGCATGAGCTGTTTTGTGGAATAGTCTCTTCTGAATGGTAGTCAGTTTTTCTCCTAGTATATTCATTCTTATATTTGTTGCCTTGGATTACAAGCGTACTTTGCCTAGAATCTTTTCTGAAGAGTTCGTGCAGTGAGTGCAAGAAATACTTATGTTCAAATGCTTAGTTGTTGATTTGACTGGACAAAACAAAACAGGCTCTTAAAGAGCAAGCTTACTGTGTATGTGTGAATAATGCGCATGCAGGTAAATATATATGCACCTCAAATAATTGAGACTTACATATTGTAAGACTAAGATAAATGGTAAAGAGAAGCCCCAAATTGGTCTTTGTGCATGGGGCTCAAGCTCCTCCCATCTTTCATCTTTCCCTTGTAAACTGCACAGTGTTTGTGAGCAGATCCTTCTTCCTTCTTTCCTGAAACGCCACTCCCTCCCACCCTCCTTTCCAGCAGCATCATCTTACAATGTATAGTGGAATAGCTTACAGGAAAGTCAATAATTTATGTCCTGGAAAATTGATGAACTAACAGCTCAGCCTGGGCTACAGGAAGTCTTGTAGACAAAACCAGTAACTTGCGGCAGTGCACTTTCAAATTAAGAAATAAAACTTCATACGCTGTACCAGTCACCTGTATTTGAAATTATATACCTGTTGTAGCAAAAAATAAATAAACAATAGATGTTTGTTTCTTGGTGCTGGAGAATGGATTCTTAAAAGTATTTATTACTCTGTGAACGGTTTTCACTGAGGCAGAATAGCTAAACTGTACTTCCAACCTTGATGTATATTTGTCAAAATTTGTAACCTATTCCATGTCTGTTGCACGGAGTGTAAAATGGCGATTTATACCCTGTCACTCTCTAATTTTTCAACTTGCAGTACACTGTTCTTAAAATCTGGGTATTGTGTTCCTTTGTTATGCTGTTAAAAGAGTAAACATTTGTTTTATGTATTTAAGGAACCCTTTGAAGATGGCTATGCAAATGGAGAGGAAGGAACACCAGCTGGAGATGCTGCTGCCACTTATACACCTGACAGCAAAGGGATAGTTAAATTTGGGTGGATAAAAGGTGTATTGGTAAGTTTGATATATATTGTACTTAAGTGCCTTAAAAAGGTCTTTCTAGTAACCTTATCTTTTGAGAAGGGACTGTAACAGCTTTGGATAAAGGCAGCACACGATGAACTATAGAAAAGTTTGTTGAAAGTTTCTTTTTACTGAATTTTAAGGATGTAAATACTAATTCTAAGTTTTGAAGCAGTTGTGGTTTCTCTGTGTAGGATTTGTTGTTTTGAAGTTGCATAATTTGTAAAACGATAAAAGATAATATAAATATTCACATTTAGTAAAAACAAGCTATTAAACTGTGTATGAGTTGTAATTGGTACAAACAAACGAAAACTGAGAAAATACCTGTGTCTTCACTTTGTGATGTTTTGGGCAGTGAACTTGATACTTTCTTTTTTTTTTTCATAAACAATAAATACTGCTGTATGGAGGGCGCCTACATTTGTGTGGCAAAACTTGACTTCAGTTAAGTATGTGAATTTCATTGAGCCTGTTAGAAGAAGTCGACTTCTCCCAGGTTTTGGAGACTCAGTACTGGTACTTTGTTATGATAGAGAAAGAAACTTTTGAGTTTTTCCCCACTCAGAATAATGAAAAATTATGGATAACACAGGCAATTTTGTTTCAAGTACATATTAACTTTTTTCAGTACTTTGGCAGAGAGAAGCCATGGTTAGTACCTGTACTCTCCAAAGCTGTGAGACTTTGTGGTGGAGGCTTTAAGTGCAGTAAGTGGTTAATATATGGTGAACTCAAACATTAGATCTTAGTTGAGCAAGATTCCACTATGCATTAGCAACTTCCTTACAAGTCTTGAAGTAGTGATATGTTTTCGCATGGGAGAAAGAGTACCTGCAGCAGATGTATAACGGATCTGGTCCCTTGCTCTTGTACCCCAATGAAGGACTGAATTGCTTGTTTCAGAGCAGGTGTGAAGCTGATGTTGAATTTCTCTAAACCTGAATTTTACATTTACACTATTTTTCTAAGCAACAGTTCTAAGTATTAAAGAGTTTGAAAGCAAAGTTTGGTAGTGTGTTTTCTCTACGATAACTTGAAGCTGATACTAGGTATTTTCATGGGATTAATGTTGCTGCCCCATGTCTTCAAAAACCTATTTAGAACTTCTAAGGAGATTTGAAACTTCCAGTTAGTATTTCCCTGTAGGCATGAGCCGCCAAGGTGAATGCTTCTAGCTCAGATATTTTTGCATTTTGCAAAAGATAAATCTTTCCAAACATTTTACCTTAGTAGTTTGGAGAGGAACCTTCGCTGACCAGCTAAACATTTTTCAGGATTGATGCTGTATTCTCCAGCTGAGAGGGACACCTGAAACTTGCAGTTTGTCTCCTAACTGACTTCTGTGCAGTGCAAAATCTATCTTATTGAGGATAAGAACAGATTCCTGTTAGCATGTTGTTCTACTGTGGTATATTGTTGAGTTTAACAGTTTATTAAATGGAGAAGATATTTAGCAGAGTATTGCTCTAGTGATTATATTCTGCAGTAGAAATTTTGAATCCTGAAGATTGGGGTCTGAATTACTTATTTGTATTTTTTGATCAAGTAGTACTGGAATGTCACATTTTGAACTCTTTAACTTTGTCTTGTTCAGAGTAGTAATATTTTAATTTTGCTTAGGTTCCCTTTTATTTTTTTAATCCAACCAAAATTGTCTAACTTATTAATTCATTATTGTAAAACCATTTGAAAAATAATGAGAGAGCTACAAGGTAACTCAAGCAGTATATAAAGTAGAATGAATTAATGGAGATGACTGCAGCTGTAAGACAAACATTAAATGTCTCTTTTGTCATCTTAGGTACGATGTATGTTAAATATTTGGGGTGTGATGCTCTTCATCAGACTGTCATGGATTGTAGGACAAGCTGGAATAGGTATGCATACAAATGCTATACATTGATTTCAGTGACTTTTAGATGTGATCTAATACAAATGTTGATCCTGAACTTATTAAACTGGGGTAGAAAACTGCTGTAATATGGCCAGTATTTTACCTTTATCAAAACTTCAAACAGTATAAAGTTGCTTAGAACTTCTCATTTGGCTACAAGGTCATAATTTTAAAATTGATATTCTCAAATCTTCAGTAAATTGTAGAGATAAATTTTTGGATATCTTGTTATTAAAATCTGTATATAGACTGTATAGTGTATAAGTCTTTGAAGAAAATAATGTGACTTAGAACTGGACTGTAGCACATCTGTCACCTGCAAAAGGCACACGTTTCCTTGAACTTCTAGTATATAGTTTTTACTCTGCTGATTGAAGATAACATCCAGTTATGTTTGTATCCAGGAAAAGGAACAAAAGGGAAATACAGCCTTTTTTTTGGCTTGAATGTAGGGGACCACGTACAGTAAACTCATGTCAGATTTGCAAGACCAATTCTTTAAACAAGTTGAAGACTTTTACGTTTCAATTCTCTGTAACTTAAACATTTTTCATCTTTTCCATAAGGTCTGTCTGTTGTTGTTATTGCAATGGCCACTGTTGTGACAACTATTACAGGACTGTCTACTTCAGCTATAGCCACAAATGGATTTGTAAGAGGAGGTAAAGCTACTTTTGTATGGCTTTTTAAAGTATCTAATCACTCTGAATCATACATCTTAATGATCGACTTTTAATTTCTTTACCACTTTCTTTTAGCATCTGGGAGTAAGAAAAGAATGGATAAAAAGCAGGGAGGAGTTAAGTTTTGCCTTCATAGTTAATAGCTTTATAAACAGTTGGTACTAGTGATCTACTCAAACTGCTTCATGACATTACAGGATACCTACTATTGTAGGTATTTGTGTAGGTAATTGTGGTAAAATTTTAAAAATACGCAGTTAATTCTTCTGTGCTTATAAAAGTCTCATGTTATAAGAATGGAAAGAAAAGTCTCACTGTAGTTTCTGTAGCTACTGTAAACGTGTAATTGTAAAATTATGTACAGTTGCTTCTAATAGTTTGCAATAAAAAGCCCAATAATATTGTTGCCTGTATATTACAACTTATTTTTGTTTAAATAGTGGAGCTGTTTTCATTGCCGGATAATACAATGTGTTTTGTGAATCAGGTCTTCCGACTGGTGTTAAAAATTTGAAATGTAGTTCTGTTTCTCTAGTATGCCTGCCCCTGAAATACTGGAATTCAGGGTATTTTCTGATGTGCCAGGGAAGATGCAAGAATAAATTATACTGTAGTCATATATGCATTAAGTTACTGATGCCAGTATGTATTTCTTTGGCTCTTTCATGTAGTGTTTTTGTCATTTTTTTTCCCCTTCTTTCAGGAGGAGCATATTACTTAATTTCCAGAAGTTTGGGACCAGAATTTGGAGGTGCCATAGGTCTGATTTTTGCATTTGCCAATGCTGTTGCAGTAGCAATGTACGTTGTTGGCTTTGCTGAAACAGTTGTGGAGCTCCTTAAGGTATTTTGATTGCGTTAATTATACTCTATCCAGATTAGACTTGTCATTTTTTGCCAGAAGTTTTTGTTTTAACAAAACATGGAATGAGGTTGAAGGTTACTGCAGATTAGTTTACTGATATTAAATAGCTTTTCGATACAAAACGAATTATCACTGGTGTCAAACTAAAACTTTCTACACTGTTTCTCCTTGAAACATATGATGAAGAATTCACAGTGAATTCCTAAACAGATGTTGAGAAGGGTGGAGGTACAGATACATGATGTAGAACCGTAAGTTTGTAATACTAAGAGTCTTACTAAGCATTTCTGTCATAAGTGATATTAACTTATATTAAGTTCCTTTTCTTGTTAAGAGCAGTTTCTTAAGATAAACATAACCTGTTGTAATTTTTGATGAAATGAAACTAAGGAAAATTTAACCTTTCAGAGAAGGGAAAAAGTTTGGAGTTCACTGAAGGAATTAAGAGTAAATAATGAACAACAAATTAGATCTGTAAATACAGGATGGTAGCTGTTGCTTGGCTGATTGATTTTTCTGACGCTTCAAGACAGACCATTCTCTATGGTGCTGTGTTATGATGAAGAATGGTTATTTTCATTTACAGTGATTAGGTGGCTGAAAAAACAAATCATCTCTACAGGGAATTTTAAATGAACAAATATGTAATACAGAGGTTAACTGTTACTAGTAAATTACAGTCTGTAATAATACAGTTCTATTCTGTAGTAGGGAATACAAGTACCTGGTGAAGTATATGACTTGTTTGCTTTTGTTTTGTCAGGAAAATGGAACATTGATGATTGATGAAATGAATGACATTAGAATTATAGGAGCCATCACTGTGGTTATATTGTTAGGTATTTCTGTTGCGGGAATGGAATGGGAAGCAAAAGTAAGTAACTGTTAATTTCTCCTTTGAGTTCTTCAGTTTTCTGTCTGTATTTTCTACTCAGCTCCCTGATTTATTTTTTTTTCCTAATGCATGTAGTGCACTTGGTATCATATATACTCAGTTTGTTAGCAATCAAGCAGTGGACAGTTCTTTTATAACAGCTCTGTCGAGCGCTAGCTTGCGCAGCATTGGGTGGCTTTGCTCAACTGCAAGCTTAGGTGGATCTGATAACTTCAAAAGATCTGTTTTTAATGGCTTTTTCAAGTAGGTTAAAAGTTACTGCCTTCTGAACAAAAATAGCAAAACAGGAAACACAGTAACATGAAAATTTTCTATCACTGGGAGCTTCAAATGAGCTCTCTGATTGGAAAATGTATGTCCAGAGCTGAAGTCAAGCTCAAGTAGTGTACTGTGGGTTTTTTTGCTTGTTTTACTTGGAGTAGTCAGTGTACTAAACAGTCAATAGACCCAGCATTGAAGAGGGATGTGAAAGCTGTTGCTGATGAATGTATAGGAGGGCTAAGATACTTTTCTTATCTTTTTGTCTGTGTGGTCTTAGATAACTCTATGAAACCAAACATACACAGATCCTAGGATACCTTAAGGTAGAATCTGAATTACAAGCCTTCTGATGGGCAACCTGGCTTGCTCAGTTTTTTTTCTGAACTAAAAAGGCTCTTTCTGCGTACCCCTCTATACCATGCTCACTTGTCTCTTTTATTTTCAAATAATTGAGCAGAACCTTATTTCATCTCCCTTACGGGTTAAGGATGATTGTGAACCAAATATTTTCTGCAGTTAGAATTGACCCTGTTTTCTACTGAATGGCAGCTTAATGTAGAAGCTTCTTAAACTTATATGTCAAGATGCTACTTGTAATCAAAATGAGGGCTTTTTTTGTTGTTGCTGTTTCCAGCTGTAGAAGTAGAGATTGCAGAAAAGGACGGTAAAGATAAAAGATAAAAGGATGGTAAAGAGGCATTTCTTGCCTCTACTACAGGGAGAAAAGAAACAAGAAAAAATAATTTTAACAAACACTTTTAAGTTGATCAGCATGCTGCTTTGAAAATTGTTTGCTTTTCTCACCACATCCTCTCTGTAACTTATATTCATCTGTATGCATTTAACTTTGAGCAACGCTGTTCTTAACCAGTTAATTTTTGTTTTGAAGGAGCTAGCTGCTACTGAACCTGTAGTCACTGTTGTTTCAAGCTTCAGCTCTTGTTTTTCTCTGCAGCTTGAGTGATTTCATGACAATAACTTGCATAGAAATGTTCTCACGTTTAATGTCTCCATATTAAACCTGAACTGTTATACTCCACAACCTCATTTTTACTGGAAGTTTGATAGGTTTTTAAAAATCCCGCTCAGTGTGAAAATCAAGGCTGTTGGCTTGATTTCTACAACGTAAAAAATGCAGCTTTGGTGATCTAATTGAGCTTGTCAAGCAAACAATCCATGTGGGTTAACATGCAGCTCAGCGTACCAGAACACTGAATCTTTCCTCTTGATAATAGTATCTATGATGTTACGTAGGACTTAGAGAATTCCTTGTAAAAATAAGGGAAACTTACAACAACAGCTTTGAAGCTGACCAAAAAAGCTTATAAGATGACAGTTTCTGGAAAACCATGCTTCAGAAACAACTTCTTAGAACTCAGATTCTTATCACTTGACTTAATATTGAAGTCTTCGAAGCCCATTTGTTCTAAAGTGTAAGACTTTAAGTGAAGAAGAGATTTGGAAGATATTTTTAGCTTTGTGGGAAAGCCAAGGTTCATTACTGAATACATCCAGTTGGAATTGCTCTGTAGTAACTTCATACTGAATTTTCCACTTAAGCTTACTGAAGATTTCTGTAAGCACTGAGCTGCATCCTTACACCTCTTACTTGTTCTTCCGTACACTTGGCATGTTCTTAACCTGGAGTCTTAAAGTTGAAGCAATAGTTTTTTTATTCTGTCATTTCAGGCACAGATAGTCTTACTGGTGATCCTCATACTTGCTATTGGAGACTTTGTTATAGGAACATTTATTCCTTTGGACAGCAAGAAGGCTAAAGGTTTCTTTGGTTATAAAGGTATGTTGGAACAGCTAATATATTATAGTACATTTATGAAAAGTCAACTTGTTGTAATTGAGTGAAAATCTAAAATACTGGGTGAACATGTAAAATAGCTGGTAGTTCTATTTAACTGTAGAGATTGTCCTGATTCTTTCAAACTTTTGCTGTTTGTTAAAGTTCTAGGATGTAAAGTTGGTGCTCCCAGCTTAATATCAATCACACTAATTGCTATAGTACCATATTATAATAATTATTCAATATTATAATTGCTAACTTTTTGAAAATCTGGATGAGATTATATGTACTTCTTCTGTTTTCTTGTTTCTATTTAAACTTTATTTTGAGAAATTAGAGCTTATCTATGTCAAAATGTTTTCTGGTTGATTTTTGTTAAATAGTTTACAGTACGGTGCTGTTAAGGCTCTACACAGAGCTATTAGGGGGCTAGAGCTGGGTAATAATACAGATTCTGTATCAGTACTGGTGGACTTATATACATAAATCTTTGTCTACAGCTGAAATATTTATGGAGAATTTTGGACCAGATTTCCGAAATGAGGAAACTTTCTTCTCTGTGTTTGCTATTTTCTTCCCTGCTGCAACTGGCATACTTGCTGGGGCTAATATCTCAGGTGATCTTGCTGTAAGTAATAAATTAGCAAATCAGCAAATTTTATTCAGAACCACTGAGTGTACCTCTATCCCTGTCATGACTGTCTACTGATATCTTCCTTTCAGGATCCTCAGTCAGCCATACCTAAAGGGACACTGTTGGCTATCTTAATTACTACGTTGGTTTACATGGGAATTGCAGTATCTGTAGGTAAGTAGTGAATATGTTTATTTTTGTGTTCTTTCTGATACTGTTTTGATACAGTTCAACTGTATCAAAACTTACAGTTCGTAAATCAGTTCAACTTTTATGCATGGAGAATTAATCACAGAATCTTAGGGTCTGAAGAGGCCTCTGGGATATCTTCAAGTCTACCTTCCCCTACTAAAGCAGGTTTCCCTAAAATAGGTAACTTTTTCTTTGGGAAAGTGCCTATATTGATTTTGAATATCTCCAGAGAAAAATACTTTGCAACACCATTGGGAAGCTTGTTTCAGTGCTCTGTTACCATTAAAGTAAACTTTTTTTTTTCTCATTTTCATATGGAAATTCCTGTGTTCTAATTTGTGCCCATTGCCCCTTGTTCTGTTGCTGGGCATTGTTGGGAATTGCCTAGCCTCATCTGCTTTACTCCTGTCTGATAGATACTTAAAAGCGTTGGTAAGATCTTCTCTATCTTCTTGTCTCCAGGTCCCATGCCTTTTTCATACAGGAGATGCTCCATGCCCCTAATAATTGTTATGGCCTTCTGTTGGGCTCTTTCCAGCAGTTCTGTCTTTCCTGAACTGAGGAGCCCAGAACTGGATACAGTACTCCAGATGTGGCCCCACTGACAAAGAGTAGAGGGAGGAGGATGACCTCCCTTGACCCACTGAATAGACAGAGCTGTCTAACTTTTGTTGGTAGAGATTTTGATCTTCAGATGTGCTCATTTCCTAAAATGTGTGACCTCTTCAGACCAAAGAGAAGCTAAGATTTCCTTTGCACTGATACTTCTTAACTTCTTGCAGTCATTTAGATTAATGTGTGTAGAATTTGGCAGGAGCATGATGCTTGGATTAAAAGACTACATTTTAAGGAAATACTAAACAAACGTGTGTTGATTTGAAGACTGTGGTAGTCAGCTGCTTTACCTGAAGCAAATTGTGGAAAGATCTCATGCAACCTACCTTAAGAGCTGTGTGCAATAAATCTTCAGAAGAATGGAAAGAGCAAACAGAATTTGTATCTGGCCAGCCTTTTCTAGAAGTGATGTCATTTTCAGAAATCTCTATAGCTTTATCTTCATGTGGCCGGAGCACAAACAGTTGTAGGTTGGTCTGAGTAATGTAGAACCTCTATTCCCAGCCTCCCTTCTCCATGTGACAGTGGTTTTGCATATTCTCAGCAGTACTTGCCATTGTGTTTGACATTGTGTTTGACATTCTCTGTTCTGCTCCAGAGCTTCAATGGTTGTCCAGATTTCCAGTTATTCACAGAATAATTAAAGTAATCATCTTGTGCATCTTACCTATGATAGAAACCGTTTTCATACATGTCACAAAAATTAGTTTCTGGGAGTTGTATTAGAAGTCCATGCCGTATCCTAGCTATGCTGCCTTCCAATGAAATTGACATTAGTAAGTGTCATCAGTGTTACCACTAGTGATACTTCCTTTGCAAAGATGGTGATTTTGCTGGGCTTCTTCTATTGGCTAGCATTATAAGGTAGCTCTTCCAAATACTCTGTAGCAATTGTGCCCTGTGGAGCGTAATTATGTACTTAATTAGACTTAATTGTATGTACTTAATATGTACCTAATTAGATTGACCACAGGCTTCTACTGCCAAATTTGAATACTTTAGAACTTGAATCCACATGAGCAAGAGACTGATCAATTTGCTGATAGAATACTTTGATCAACTTTCAGACGTAAGAAACTGCAGTTTTTCATGTTGCAAAAGGAACACTTTGCAGACCAACTGAAGATGAAAGTGTTACTGAATCAGAAATGTGCTGCTCTAGTTGCTGCCTGTGTCTTGCAATTAGAAATCTGGTAATTTAAAAGACTGGTGCTATTATGGATGCGAGAGATTATGAAATGAATGAAATCTAGCTTGCTTTTTTTTTTTTTTTTTTTTTGAGGCACTGGACTATGAATCAGGCAAATGGAAATCCTCATGTTCTGTCCCCCTCCACAAACTATTCCACATTGTATGCTTCTATTGTAGAGCTGAGGAAATCATTAAAAGTTAGAAGAAGCTGCTAATATGACTGAGTAATAATCTCTAAAGGGGAGTATATTTTGAATTTAGCTGACTGTATGTACTACAGTGAACAGGGAATTTCAGATTGAACAGAAAGGGCTTAGAAAGAGGAAGAATTTTAGTCCTTGAAACAGAAATGTATTAAAAATTGTTAATGCCATACTCAATGTACCTCTGTAAGAAATATGCTTATGTTGAAAAGTATTGGAGTTTGATGCATGTCTGTAAGTTTGGGCTTGGTCTGATGCTTATTTTTGTGATTGGGTCCACTCTAGGCTCCTGTGTTGTTCGAGATGCCACAGGGAACATTAATAACACCATTATCACTGAACTGACCAATTGTACTACTGCAGCTTGCAAGTTAAACTATGACTTCTCATCCTGTCAGAAGGAGTGTCACTATGGGCTGATGAACAATTTTCAGGTATGAAGCTTTTCTTACATTTGCTTGCTGGATTTTGTGGGTTTTTTTTTTTTTTTTTTTGAATTGCTTATTAAGAAAAATCAGTAGGCTAAAAATTCTTACCATAAGTACAAAGTTTGTCTGAAATAGCAAAGTAGTACCCTCTAGAAGGCATGAGAAGAGCAAGGTAGCTGTGTTAAACTTCAGCCTGTTTATACTTGGGTGTTTATAAATATTTACTTTTCTCCTTAGTTAACTGCATAGGTTACGTGTTGAGACTGCATCTTGCTCCGTTTAGCTGTGAATGTCATCATTCACTGGTGTGGATAGATGCAATCATTGTTTAAGCAATGTGTAGCAATCGTAGATAGTTTGCTCCAGTAACTTTTTTTTTTCTTAGCAAATATGCTTTTAAAAATGTTGATGTATTTTATATTTTTTATTATATTTTATGATAGGTGTGTTTTGAGGCTTCAAGAAATCTAGTTGTAATATTTAAAACCATGGGCTTGTGGGGTATTCTGCTCTTCAACCTTCATACTTCATAGCTAATTCAGACTTCATAGCTTGTGCTTGTGATTTATTTGTAACGGTCTGAAAGAAACCAAGAAAAACATATTCATTAGTAATTGAATTAAACTTGCCTTATAGTAGTTTCTGCCCTATGCTTTTCTAATATCCCTAGAGAGGTTTGGGTAGAAACTAGTCCATGAATGAAAAGCGCTTGTTTTAATGGGTTCTGTGTTTTGGTCATAAGTACATGTACCTACATCAGGCTGTCAGCCTGCCATCAAAGTAATTACAGTTTTTACATGCCAAAACAATGTTCCAGAGCAGACCATTTTATTAGAGTAAAATATTTTCTTTTGCGATCTGTGTACCTGTGTAGCATTGCCTTGTTCTGGTTCAGGAAAAAAAAAAATCTAAACTTAGAAACATTTCAGGACTGCTGTTAGAAGGATGTGGAATGTTGGAGTGGGTCCAGAGGAGGACCACTAAGATGATCGGAGGGCTGGAGCACCTCTCCTATGAGGAAAGGTTGAGGGAACTGGGCTTGATTAGCTTGGAGAGGAGGAGGCTCCAGGGAGACTTCATTATGGCCTTCCAGTACTTGAAGGGAACATATAAACAGGAGGGGTACAATTGTTTACATGGGTGGATAGTGATAGGACAAGGAGAAATGGTTTTAAACTGAAACAGGAGAGGTTTAGGTTAGATTTTAGGAGGAAGTTTTTAACACAGAGGGTGGTGACACACTGGAACAGGTTGCCCAAGGAGGCTGTGGATGCCCCATCCCTGGAGGCATTCAAGGCCAGGCTGGATGTGGCTGTGGGCAGCCCGGTCTGGTAGATGGCGACCCTGCATGTGGCAGGGGGATTGAAACTAGATGATCATTGTGGTCCTTTTCAACCCAGGCCATTCTATGATTCTGTGATGATTTTTGACAGCTCTCCTCATTTGTTCAAACTTGAAAGCCAGTGTTCTACTGTATCATACTGCTAAGAATAGTGTAGAGCTGAACTTGATGATCGCTGTGGATCTCTTTTTAAGGATGTTCTATGATTCTAAGACCTGACTTCCTCATACTGCATTTGAATTCCTGTAAATAAACAGAGGCAATGAATGGCACTTAGAAAAGTGCTGCTAGAAAGCAAATATGGAGTTGGAGTATGTAAGGGCTGAACTGCAAAGTCTCCATGCAAGTGTGGGGGAATGAAGGCCTAGCAATAAAAATGTTTTAAATGGGATAGGAAGAAAAGTAAATGCAACTGATAGACACATTCTATTTATGAGAGGTCCTTCTGGGAAAGATTGATCAAGGAAGATCACTTTCTGTACTTAAACACAGAATTATCACTGTAGAATATTATGTTTCTGAAGCATAGATTACAGCTGTAATTCTTCTTGTACAGTAAAACCAATTACTTAAGTGTTGGTAGTGTGGACAAATTCATGGTATGTATAACTGATGTGTTACGAGCTTTGTTCAAGTATGAATAAAACCCTGTCCTACCATACCTTCTTTCATTGTAAAATTCAAATATACTTTAGGAAGTCCCACTGTTAATTCCTATTCTACTACCTATGGTAGCTGCTTAATGCTCATTGTGTGCGTCTGTAATTTTTGTTTTTCTTTTCATATATAAGGCCCACCCTGAACTAAGCAATGAGACTGATGCAATCTAGAGATTTAGCTGACTGTTTGAGAGACTCAGCAGTCTTTGGCAGTCTGATCTGGAGCTTTACAGAGCTGAATTTTACAATTCTGTGTAACAATAACTTAAACTAGATACTTTTCCCTCTTCTGCAGACTCAGTCCTTGTATTCTAGTTTGCTGGGATGAAAGACGTGTCTGATCAGTCCAAATGATGCAGAACCTCATTTGAACAGACACTGTGCCTCTAAGTGACCATGCTAGGTTTGCTCTGAGTGAAATTCTAAGCTTTTCAAGACGTTATCAAATTATTAAGTACTCTGTCTTCAAGCAGCCTAAACTTTAATTTTGAAGGGAAAGTATCCATTAAAACTGACTGTTCTTAAATTCACAGTTCTTTATCTTAACTGACACTTGAAATGCTGTATGCATCTATGATAAAGGAGTAGAGCATTAGAATGGCAGAGGATGATAGTTCCTAGGCTGTATGACAATTAGGCAAGAAATTGCTTTGCTTTTAATTTGGAATTTTTTTTATTATATTAACATCATTTCTTTACATCTGGTTTACTCAACATTTATTGGTAGTCCTCCAATCTGCCAATAATGGTATATTGTATTTCATTCAGCTGATTGAAAATATGATCTTATGGGGATGAGAACCAAACTTGTGCTGTCCTTGAAGATGGAAATGGGAAACAAACAAACTGGGGGATGTGAGTGGGAAGCAAACCTAACTTAGGTGTGGCAAAAGATAAAACAAACCTTCCCAAGATGTTCACCAAATTCAGTTGCTTTGTTACTTGGACTGTTTCTTAGTGACTGGATGGTCAAAATGATTTACAGTGTGTATTTTTTTTTCTTCCATGGCTGAAGTTTCCTTTCTTTTTATTAGCCCATTGAGACTTCTGCCATCAGTCAGTTTACGAAGTTGGACTAAATAGTATGTGATAAGCTACTTTCTCTTATTCTGGATCACATAGATGTGAATGTGGCTTTTAAGTGAAGAGCATCAAGTATTCTGTATACTTTTTGTGTGCTGCTAATAGTAGCTTGTGTAGTTAGAATATTATGCTTCTTAACATTCTTTTTTTTTTTTTAAAAAAAAAAAAAAAAAGACAAAAACAGCAACAGAAAACCCACAGTGAAACAAGATTTTTCTACTTGCAGGTGATGAGCATGGTATCAGGGTTTGCACCACTCATTTCTGCAGGCATTTTTTCAGCCACTCTGTCATCTGCATTAGCATCTCTTGTGAGTGCACCTAAAATCTTCCAGGTAAGTATGGATGCAAAACCGAGATCTTTTCAAGAATAATTTTAATTAAGATTCAAATCAGAATTCTGGAAAAGGGACTCTGGCATACTGTAATCATGACTCGTAACTGCTGAGTCCAGTAGATTTGTCTGCTTACCTGGTGCTTAAAATGGAAAAACAGCATGCTATTGTTACTAAATGTAGCCAGAATGTAACTTATGTCAGATTTTAAGTAAGTGTGTCTGATTACTTTCTTAGGAGTGAATTATTACGGATCTTTGTAATGTCACTTATCCAAGACTTTCTGCCTTTTGGAACAAACCAAGGATTCAAATGATTTGAAGTGAATGAAGCGATGGTTACTCTTGAAACTGGGATCTTAATGGTCATGCATCCCAGGGTGTTTATATGTGGCATCTAAATGTGCTGCTATCCTTGTTTTTACTCTGTGGAGCGAGGGGAGCATAAAGTCTGTATTCTGTGAATTGCTTTTTCATGGAACTAGGAAGTTCCAAGAAATGAAGTACCACTAGCATACCATTAAAAATAATAGATCAGTTAATTCCTCAGTATAATGGAAGTAGAACCTGTAGCTCTTGAATCCTGATCACGGAATACTTCCACAAAATAATGTAATTGTGAACCAGTTCTTGTTTATGTCTCTTTACATTAATTTTGTTGGTGTTTTCAAATGAATGCCCCTCCTTCTTAAACTCCTTAATCTTATTATTTTTATTTAATGTTCTTTTCAATTGAATAAAACTTTACTGTTATCTAGTGGACCTCCTTCCCCGGAATGTCAGTGAGTAGTCAAACGTAAAAGAGGCTTCGTTGCAGAATAAAAACAGAAGTGTTGATTCAGAGAACTACTGTAAACGTTAGGTAAACTTTCCACTTTCTGGAGAAATTGGTTTTGTCCTTAACGAGAGACTGACTGTGAAGTACAGTAAAGCATTTAGTGAAGAGCAGCCCTTGCTTCTGAAGGATAGAATATTGGAAATGCAAAAAAAACTGAAATGATAAGACAATTGCTAACAGAATAAGTACAAGTTAGCTTCTTCTAGGAAGATAATATATGCAGTGAAAGACAGCATTAGGAAACATTAATAAGGATATTTTTTACTAATTGCACCCTAACTCTTTCATTTTATTTTTTTAGGCTTTGTGCAAAGATAACATCTATCCAGGATTTCAGATGTTTGCTAAAGGTTATGGGAAGAACAATGAACCACTGAGGGGATATCTTCTAACATTTTTAATTGCTCTTGGATTCATACTAATTGGTTAGTTTGAAATTAATGTAAATCTGAATCTCCTTTTCATCTTTCATAAAGCATTCTTTTCCGTCTCGTGACTTGATGATATTGTCCCTGAGGTCTAACACACAGCTGATTCCTAAGTGAGGATTCTAACTTTGTTTAGTTTAAGGATTTTCTTCTGTATCCTAAATATCTCAATGCTTAGAACTGGAATAAGTCTGAATTGAACAATAAGTAGATTTCGCTTTTCCTAATCACTTCAGGCATCTGTTGTTACAGTCAGTCAGTGAATGAAATACATTTTGTTTGAAGTAGAATGACATGATATGTTGTAAATATGAAAATTTAATTTAGATTTTAATAATTACAAATGGCTTGAGTAAATGGCAAGCTTATATGAACTGAACTTTTTAAAATGTTCTTCATTTACACTACAAATGATAGAGATGATTGCTGCTGCTGTTGGCAGTGGTGAAGATAGTCTAGGTGAAGGATTACCTTTGTTCTAGGAAGATGGTGAACTAATATTGCTATGTTTGCTCGTATGTTCTGTGCTAGCACTCTCAGCTCTTCTTGTTATGTTATTTTATCCTTTATCCTGAGGTGTGTGTGTATATATGTTGTCTTAACTGCAACAAGGTGACTGGAGGCTTAATTATAACAACTAAATGCTTGCAAATTGACACATTGTGATTGCTACTTTTTAATAGAGAGGGTACTGGTCTGAATTTTTTTATACCATACTGCCTTATGGAAGAGCTTGTTGCTTTCCTTTATCTCTTTCTCTGAAGAGAGAATATTCATTGCTGTTGCAGTGGAATTGATAAATAATAATGCACTAATGCTAATACCAATAATTCAGATTTTCAATTAAAATGCAAGCAAATGAACATATTTGTCACATTTGTTCACACTAGTTTTCCTCTTACCATTTGCCATAGATGAGTGTCTCTTGTTCTTACTAGCCTTTTACTTTTTTTTTTGTTTTGGACCTAAGACATCACATAAAGAAATCTGACATCTGGAGTTCTTCAGAACCCAATATATTACAGCACTGTTTAATCAAACCATGGTGGGAAAGAAATTCTCTCAAGTTATTTTAAGAAAGCATATAGTAATGAGAAGAAGCAGTTGTGGAATGCTCGATGGGCATGTAAAAATGCTTATTGTTAAAAAACTGAAACTTGCATTTCCTGACTATCAGAAGATACCTCAGTTAATACGAGACATTTAAGTTAATAGCTGCATTTATTGGAAAGCACAAAGTGATTTTGCCTATGTAACATAAAGTTAACTCTGAAATGTACAAAGCCATTAGATGGTATATATTATAACATTCTACTTTATTTTTGTTCTGCAGCTGAACTGAACGTCATTGCTCCAATTATCTCTAACTTCTTCTTGGCTTCATATGCCTTGATTAACTTCTCTGTGTTCCATGCTTCTCTTGCAAAATCTCCAGGTAGGAACCGTATTCTCGGGTTCAAAGTTTATCTTGCAATTCCTAAATGCAGAAAAATTCAAAAGATACTAACATAAGTGAAAGTCTGCTTTAATTCAATACTAAATGTCTATTTGACTTTCATGACACATCTAAGTTATTCTTAATATAATATGTCCTTGAGTCTTCCAAAATTTGAAGGATGAAATGATTCAGAATAGCTTGGGAGTTACCAGTATTTGTCACTTTTGCTGAGGAAACAGAAGATAATTCAGTACTTGTTCAGTAGCTCTTGAATAGATCTCTAATAATATGCCTCAGCATCTCTTTTCTTATCAAGTATTCTTGAGACTATCTGTTCAAGAAAGTTTTCTTGCTGAATCAGTTTATGGTGTTCAAGACCCACTCTTTTGTCATCTTTGGATTTCTCTTATAATATGTTCAGTTTTCTAGCCCAGAAGGAAGGAGTGGGATGGGCATGTTTTTGTAGCCTTTGTTTGGTATGGGAGGCCAGTTAAAATATAAGACTGTACCAAGGAACAGTACTTGCAGACTGTTGTTCACCTGGTCCCCTGTGCTAAAATATCCCTAAATGTAACAGTTAATGCACAGCTCTGCACAAATGTGTTTGTGGAGTATCTGTATGATAGATAGATTTCAATAGATGAAATAGGGGGCTTTTCATATAATGAAAATTTCTGTGTGGAAATAGTAAATGTACCTAAAAACAGTTCAAAGTAGAGAGAGAGAGAGGTATTAGCTGATGACTTACGTTACACTTAGGCTGAGGTTTTGCTTTGAAAGGAAAAATCTATTTTCTTGAAACTTGTTGCCAAAGGTACCTCTAGTTTGCTTCAATATATGTACTGGCATGAGCATCTTCAAACTTTAGGGATAGCTTTTAGAAGACAACATTGAGAACTGTTACATATCTGTGCAAGAAAAATGTAAATTATTTTGATAGATAGTGAAAAATTAAGTTTTTGTAAATGTGCCAAAGTGTCTATTTGTTATACTACTGAAACTGGTGTGTGTTATGGTGAAATGTGATTCAGAGCACTAACGAGGGAGAAGAGGAATAGGACCTTCTTTCTCTTGAATTAAATTATTTCCCCCTCTTTCTTCTCTTATCCTCCAAATCAAATTTTGACTAGGTTGGCGTCCTGCTTTCAAATACTACAATATGTGGATTTCTCTTGTTGGAGCCATTCTGTGCTGCATTGTGATGTTTGTCATTAACTGGTGGGCCGCGCTTTTAACATATGTCATAGTCCTTGGTCTCTACATTTATGTCACTTACAAGAAACCAGGTATGTATAGGGGTCATTTCTGGTTCTAGTGGGCAGAAGAGGAATGTGGAAGATGGACGAAGTGTGTGTGTGTGTGTGTGTGCATGTGTGTGTTGGGGCTGGGGAGAGGGGAAATAAGGAACCTAAGTCTGTTTGATTCAAACTTCTGAAAGCATATTGCTAGCCAGAATTGAAAGGGAGTATTTCTTTACCTTTCCAATTGGAAAAATGATTTTATTAGTATCTGGGTTTTTTTCAGTACACTATTCCTATAGCTTTGAAGAGGAATATATACACTCTTCCTCTAAGAATGCTCTATAACTGTAAGTGAAAGATGGAGCATATCTGAGCCAAAACATGCTGGCAATAAGGAAAAGACCAAATCCTGGGCTGTGTAGTTTCAATTGTTTGAATCATGAAGATCATAAGTTCATTGTAGCTATCAAAAATAAATGGAAACAAATAGCAAATACACTGGGAACTTTAATTTCCCTAATTAAAAAGAAAAAATCTGTGTATTACTGCTTAATGTAGACATTGTCCTCTTTACTGCTTAAGTTATTCACAGAAAGTAGTTGACTTGTTGAGGCATTGTTTTAAGGTTGCTTTTTCCTTTGCTGTGATGTAGCATAGCTCTAAGCATCTTCTTTCCAAAAGCATTATTTTTGCAGCTTTGAATTTTATTCTCTTTAATGTTGCAAAAAATTCAGTTCTTTCTTTCTATTTGTAAAATAACAAACTCTTATTTGCCAAAACTTGCATGTAAGTTTTATCTTTAATTGGAATTGCATATGTAACTTGAGGGTTTGTTTTGTGTAGTGTAGAACACATTGAGGTGTAGCTTAAATATTGTGTGTTACATGATTTAAGAAAAAAACATGTTGAATAGCTGTAAGTAAAATACTGAAAATTTCATATTTTTCAGATGTAAACTGGGGATCATCAACTCAAGCTTTGACTTACTTGAATGCATTACAGCATTCTATTCGTCTTTCAGGAGTGGAAGATCATGTGAAAAACTTCAGGTGACAGTTTTATACAACAAATTATTTATGCTGTGTAATCAGTAGGGTAGACTCATGGTGATTGCCACGACTTCCATTAAGCTGTTTACTTCCTGTGGATTTTTACAGCTTTGAATTTAATTATCATGGAGATTGTCTGGACGTGGCTAAAGGAACATTTTATTTTAGATTAAGAGTCCGTTTCAGAAGCAACCCAATAAATGATGACGAGCTATTCACCGTCATGCATGATACATCATGTTTTCATGGAGTGCATCGTGATCTATGAATTGTGTTGATTGTTAATGAAACTGAGCTGGAAGATGACCTCCCAGCAGCTAACAAGTGTTCAGTGCACATAAGGCTAAATCTGATCTAAGCTAAAATCCCAGAGATGTGTGTACTGTTCTAAACACCAGTCTCACATTAGATATGTTCTCATTGCTGTGGTAAATGCTACAGCTACAGACATGTTTGACACAACAGAAGGAGTGAACTGGTTTGTTATCAGCCTCTGACAACAGCCCAGGAAGAGCTTACTGAAATAGGCAGTATCTTGCATTATTTATTCCACTTCATAGGAGCAGGCAATTCTAGAGGAAATATGCTCTAAAAAAGCCGTTTAAAAAAGCATGTTGACTTACTAGACTTTGAGGAAATGGTTTATGAAACAGCTCTTTCTGAAATCCAAAGGTTTACATGACATTGAAATCCCTGATTATTTGCAAACACTGTCTTACCTCTGATGCTAAGTTGCACTGTTGTCAGCAAAATAGTCTGACTTCAGAAACTGATTTGTTGTTTCTTAGCCATCAAGAGCAGCAATTTTCAGTCTTAATGCAAATGTCAAATTTGGCATAAGTAATTTATATTATCTTGCTATGATTAGTGTAGCATTGTCTCTAGTGCAAGTCTGTTTTGGATCGCAGACTGAAGAAACAGACATTACAGGAAAATTCTTGCCAAATAAAACTTCTTGCTTGTGCTGATAGTGAGTGCTCTGCTGGCCAGTATGCGTTTTAGGTTCCATTGGAAGTACTTCAGCTCTTCTGTTCAGAAGTTAGTGTATAACCTTTTGAGTTGTAAACTTCACTAATTATTTTGTGAGGAAAGTATAGATCTTCTTGCCAGGTGTAAGCACAGGAGCTTTAGGCTAATATTTTTTGGCCTGATCTTGGCTTCTCCTATGTAGTTTAGAAAAAATAAATAAATTTCCAGGAGCTTCTGGAGGGATGGATACTTCACTGATTCTTGTCTTAAAAATAAAGTCTTCTACTTGATCTTTATAATTGATTAGTAAGAATGGCTAGAACAACTGAACTTGCAGTTGTTTGACTTCTCAATGCTAACAATGAGAGGAAAAATTGTGTAAGGCCACTTTTCCTGTATGACATAAAGAATTGTAAGCTAGAAAGTGTAGGAATGTGACTGACTAATAGGGGAAGAAATTTACCTGCCTGGCTTAGTCTTGTCTAATGTCTGTTTCTGATCTTTTTAAATATGTAAGTTTTCAGAATTAATGGGATTTACTGATTTATTTATTTATTAGAAACCAATTGATCATAGATCTGCTGACAATTGTGGAAGATTGATCTTTGCTTAATTTAACATAGTCTTGTAAGAATAGATGAGGTTACTGTTTTCACTGAAGATTGTGCTTTTGGGACCAGCATTTAGAATTAGCTTTTCTAAACTATATAAACTCTCAAGATAAACAGTACTGTAACTATTTCTCCCAACTCTTATTCACAATTTTAGGCCACAGTGCTTAATTATGACAGGTGCCCCAAATGCACGTCCAGCTTTACTTCACCTTGTCCATGCTTTTACCAAAAATGTGGGCTTAATGATCTGCGGCCATGTACATATGGTAAGTGTGTTCTATCTTTAAAGTTATATTGTGTTTTTTGTTGTTTTTTTCCTTTAACAAAGCTGTCTCTTTCCATTTTAAAGAAAAGCTATAGTATCCTGGGGTGTTGAAGTAGAGTAGGATCTATTCATGTATGTGTCATCACTATTCCCACTTAGGTGTGATGCAATTTTAGGGAGTTATGAAAGTTGTTAAAGCAGCTATTACCGACATCTGTGCGGTATGCTTTTTATATAATCTACTTGTACTTAAAGGGATCTTGCTCTGGTAAACGTGGAGGATATGCATGAAATACAGTGGAGAAGGGGGATACTTTGCAAAATTATTATCTTTGATCATTTTGCACTTAAATTCCTAGCAAGCCTTATAGGAGTAAAGTGAACATTGAATTATGGTGTAGGTCTCTTTCTGTCCTTGTATCATTTGGTCTTAAGTATTCCATCAGGCCTTGTTTGGAGCAGTATGTGAAAAGTTTTCCTCATTGTGTTTCCGTGAAGCAGATATATTCATTGCTATGCTAATATTTCTTATACACCCTAGCCTAAAGAAAGTCTTACTGGGTAGTAAATTTTGTATCATTTAGCTGGTAATTTAGAGCTGTTTTTAGCTTCTAACTAGCTTTAATCCTGATTTGTTTAACTGGCAAGGTGAAACAGTGATTATTTCTAGTTATTATTAACAGTTTTTTTCCTCCCCTCCTTCTGTTTCTGACCAGCCCTGAGTATTTCAGTAACTTTTCATCATTTCTGTCAGGATGTGAGAGTCCTGGGAATGGGGAGAAGGTTTGTTCTTGGGAACGTAATTTCAGCACTTATTTCTACTTCACAACAACAACAACAAAAAACAACAAAAAATGAAAAACAAACATAATCACTTTAAGCACAAGAACAGAATGTGTCTGTCTTCTACTGAACACCGGTAATGGTGGGACAGAAGGAAGCAAACTTCAGATTGTTCATCACAATGCTATTCTGAAGAATGGTTGTCTTAATACAAGGTGTTTGTTGTACTACCACCTGTCCCAAAACTGCAATTAGCTGCATTGTAGCTGTTGCACCTTTGGTAAATGTTACTGAATGCACTTTAGAGCAGTAGGATCACAAAGTTTTTTGCTAGATATTTTAGTGTCACTCTTTTGCAAATACAATATTAAGAACATCTAAGTAAATGTAACATTTAAAGTGTGACTTTAATACAAACCTTGGTTACTCTTCTATATGCTTCAACTTAACCATACTTTCTAAATAAGACTTATCATCTAAAAAAAAAAAGAGCAATACAGAATTGTATGCTTTTAAGCAGATATTGCCCAATTCTGTCTTCAGTAACATAACTTGAGCATTTTGGTGTCTGCAAGGAGCACAGGGATACATACTGATGCAGGTCATTAAAAGAAAAAATGAAAGAAAAGATGGCTTTGCAACATTTTTTTTTTTTTACAGTCACAGTCAGAATTGTAGTCCTTTTTCAGACAAGTTTGATTTTGATTCTAGCATTAAAGTAGCTTAAAAAAAAACAAAAAACAAAACAAAACAACAACAAAAAAAAACACAAAAAACACAGGGCTTTACTTGTGCTCATAATTCTTGTTCACCTTCCTTCATGTTTCCTCGTTTTAAAAGGGTCCTCGGAGGCAAGCCATGAAGGAGTTGTCAACTGATTTGGCTAAATACCAGCGATGGCTCATTAAAAACAAGATGAAGGCTTTCTATGCACCAGTGCATGCAGAGGATTTGAGGGATGGTGGACAGTACTTAATGCAGGTGTACCTCTCTTCCTTTTTCTTAATGAAAACAGGGACATCTAATGTCAAAAAAAAAAAAAAAAAGCAGAAATGTTTTTACACTTTGCTGAAGTATTTTCATTATGTAAGGTTATCTTAAACTCTTCAAAGCTGTATTTTCTGCTTGAAATAAATAATTGAACCTTTACTAGTGTCAGTAACACAATTTTAAATGTATTATGTTCTTCTTAGGCTGCTGGATTGGGTAGAATGAGACCTAACACTCTTGTTGTTGGATTTAAGAAAAATTGGCGACAAAGTGACATGAGAGATGTTGAAACCTACATTAATTTATTCCAGTAAGTAGAAAATGCAGAGAGGTTTCATTTGTGTTCCATTTCAGTACGTTTCTTAAAAAGTGAAAGAACTTCTATCCCAATGTCTTTGTTGCATAAGTTTTCCTCCTGTGTTTCAGATAGACTCGTCTATACTGCAATACAGAAAAGCTAGGTTTTTTTCCTGGTACAGGAATTATATGAGCAACTCTTAATAGCTTTAGCAGACCCGATTTCCACATAACTCCTTCTGCCTCCAGAAGGAGTTGTGGCAGTAGTCTGAGATTTAACAATTCCTGTCTTCAATGAAGGAAGTAGTGTCTATGTGTCTGTTAAATTCATTAGACCATATTTTCTGTTGAAAGTGGGGGTTTTCTTACCTTTTTTTCCTCTGTGCAGATTAGGTGTAGAAGATGAATCAAGTGTTGTGCTGCAGCTTTCCCTCTTATAAGTAAGATACTTAGAGCAGATGCACTGCATTGACACCAAAAGTAAAAAGTAGCTAAAAGGTGGAAGAGAAAAGAAATCTGTCTGTACTTTTGGTAGTACTGAAAAGTAGACCAGTTGTGTCTGAAAATAGTATTGACTGCTACTACTAACATTTTGGAAAAACATTTACGTAGATATTTCTTTCTGTTTTCCTAACACACTGTTAAACCTGTTTCATCTGTATTTTGCACTCATTTACTATGCTTTTAAAAGAAAGATGGGAAAGGGATTACAGGCAGATTCTAGAAGAGGAAAAAGCACACCCACTCAGTCTTCCAGTTTCTTTAAAAAAAAAAAAAAAAAAAAAAAAAGGTAGGAGTACAAAATAGATTGGAAAATAAGGCGGTATGTTGGTGAGTTCTTGGGTTTGCTTTTTTCTTTATTCATCATTTACTTTGAAATGTCTTGTACTGGGAGAACTTTCATGTCCAACCCAGTAAAGTGATTCTCTGCATCACACAGAGAAACCTCGGGAGACAGTAACTGCAAGGCAAGTGTGTTTTCAGAAAATTTCTGGAAAATTGAATGTTTCTGAGATGCCCAATGCAGTACCATAGAGATCTGAAAAATTAAATAATGGGCGAAACTACTTAAATTTATCTCATTTTTCTTGCATTTGCTATAAAAATGTTGATACTTGAAACACGTTTCTTTAGAAGTAGTGAAACTTAATGAGAAGTGTTGAGTGAAATCTTGTAGAATTCCTCTGTGGGAAAAGCATAGGAGTTATCTGAATTAGTTGTAATGAGTTGTAATTTAAAGACTGATGAATGGATAAAGCTAACAATATGATATGATTAATTTTATATTAGATTAGTCCTAAATCTCTGGGCATTCTTTTTGTTCTTCATTTCACTTAGACTTTAATTCTGACTATTAGTCAGTCTTTTTTTCTACAATAATTAAGATTCGTTTTTTAGTTTCCAGTCTTTATAAGAGTGAGTTTCTTCCCCATCACATACAATGGAAATAAGTATCTAGTAGCTGTTCTCATTATAACTTACAACTTCATAGATTGCTTTTAATACCCAAATGTTTTGGAAGTTCGTAACTATCAGGAAGATCTCAAGATAAATCCCTTCTTTGATGCCTCACTTTGCAGCATCACTTACATTTTCCAGTTCATCTTGTCATCATCTGTGTGGAACTTGAATGGCCTGTTACTCTTTTATCATTGTTCTATATAGGACAGAGTCAGAGGAAAGGTAGTAAATAACCTTTCCGTGTGTTCCTTTGGAATTGAAACTGAAATTGTAACAAATGTATGATTTGGGAGTTTAAATGGCGACATTTAATCATTAATATTTTTCTACAGAGGGCATGTAAAGTAGACTTTCTGGGAAAGAAGAGGTAAAATGTTCTATGTTGTTTTCTTTTTAGTGATGCCTTTGACATTCAGTATGGTGTGGTTGTCATCCGCCTAAAGGAGGGTTTAGACATTTCTCACCTTCAGGGGCAAGGTAAGATTTTGTTTCCTGTCATTATTAGCTGTTACTCCTTTTAAAACCATTTTCTGAAAATACTAAATGAAGATAGTTTATCTAATTAAAAAAAAAAAAGTGAAAGAAGGCAAGACTCCCGCACCAGTCTTTTCGTAGAATAAAAGCCATTGAAATGAGTGAGCCTGAAATGTGCAATAAAAATAACCCATGTTCAGCAACAGAATTTGCTTTTCTGTGCATTTCAACTATCTGAATTTGTAAGTTGTTGCTTTCAAAGGAATTATATTTTTACTGAAATGATTTGAGGAACAAAATCGGCATTAAGTTTTTCTAGATTTGGGCTGCCTGATCAGGTAGTGTGAGTCACGTGTCTCTCCCTTCTTCAGTGCTCCCTTTGCCACTACGTACTTTAGAGACCACAACTGCAGTCTGTTGGGTTTCGAAATGTATCAGGAAAGTGTTAGTACCCACTGAGACAATAAGTTTGCTTTAACTCTGGCAGTTACCAGACAGCTCCACTGAAGCGAAGTGTGGGGAAAAAAAAAAAAAGGAGCATTTTGTTTCGGGACCTTGTGTAAAGATAAACTTCCATTTGGAATTAGAGTTTACAATCTTTTTTTGCATGTAAAATGTTTCATGAAATACATTTTTCCCCTTCTTGATTGTAAAGAAAAGGAACCTCAATGTGAGATGAAACCAGTAGTTTAACTCCACTAATATAATGGCAGAAAATGCAGTGCTTTTTTGGTGTGTTTCAAACTTAAGGCATCTTGTCAATGTTATGTTTACACTATCTGGATTTTTGTGCTTGCTGGTAACTGATACCAAAACCCAATATTTCTAAGAGGATTTTCCCCTTGTGGGGAACTTTACCTCAATGTGAAATATTTCTAGCCAGCAGTTATATTTAGCTCCCACTTTCAAATTCTATTTATGCTAGAGGTACTGTCATTATAGTGCTAAACATTTGCAAATAAAAAAACAAGCCCCATAATGTAAATGGTAATTAGTACAAAATGAAACTTGTACTTCCTCAATGTTAGGTAGCTCTGTTTGATGTTTAGCCTTTGGTAATGCATTCAGAACTCAAAATCTCTTGGAAGGAAGTAGAGACTCAAGCTCTGTTCAGAGCTCTGTTCAGAGCAGGTACCTCTTTGTACTCAGAAGCTGTTCATTTGTGGTGGAGGTTTATTTTTGTTTTTTTTTCCCTCTTTGCTATAGCATGACAGTGGCAGTGGAGTTGAGCTGTTTAGCTAAATGCAAATCATCTCAGTATAGGCACATACCTCCATCTTCTACCATCTGGGACAAGTCAGTGGTTTATAATGTGTTTCTTTGCTTTCTCAAAGAAGAGTTACTGTCATCCCAAGAAAAATCTCCGTGTTCCAAGGATGTCATAGTAAAGGTGGATTATAGCAAGAAGTCTGAGACAGACACTTCTCTAGCTTTTGTTCCATCGTCTAGTGAGAGAACTCCTGCTCTACATAAAGGTAACTAGTTAAGGTAGCTAATTGCTAGTTAGCAGTGAAATTTTGAGTTCTCATTCTTTCTCTCATTACCTCTTCAGTCCCTCTCTCCTCCTATTTTGTTGTATCTGTGAAAGAGAAGTTGTCATGGTTTTTGGGTTGCTGATGTCTAATAGCTCAAACACTTTGCTTTAGAGACTACAAGTATGTGAATCATATTTTTATGACATAAATAAAACAGATGATGGGCTGTGACCAACAGTACCTTTTTTGTTTTCTTAGTTAATTGAGTGCCAATAAAAGTTGCTTGAGAATCAGGCCTCACAGCTAGTTGTTAGTAATGTGGTTTTTAAGGCTGGTGAATTCACAGTGATGGTTTTCACCTCAGGCTTGAATATTTTATGATCTGCATGTTAACTAGCACAAATGATCCAGAATACCTGACATAACAATAACCAACCTTCCTCTTTTGCAAGTAAAACTTTGGATTGACTAAACTATTGAGAAATACAATTAAGTTACTATTATGTTCTAATACCTATTATTTTTAGGACATGATAGACCAAACTTGTGTGCTTTTCTTTGTATGAAAATTCACTTCATTTTGCATTTTTCTTTTCTTTGCTTTTTTTTATGCACTTGTACTGTTTTCATTAACATCACAAAGGATATTAACCTTTTTATTTTGTATCTTTAAAAATCTTCCAGAGGAGGACGAGGATGGAAAGACTCCAACACAACCACTGTTGAAAAAAGGCAGGCATTTTTCACCTTTTTGTTAAATCATACTTTCACATTGTTAATTTCAGTTTTCGTTTTGTACTTCATCCTACACATATATTTGAAAGACAGGAAAATATCAGCCATACAAGCTCAATTTGTTTCTTCATATTTGCTTTGGAACGTGCTTCATCTATGGGGATTAAGTGTGTTCAGGAGCCTGCTAAGTTATTTATGTCTTAGGTATTTGAGCCCTCATTTGATTTTGGGCACAGTATAAGTATTAATGATGTAGTGGAAGTGCCTCATTGGTCTATTCAGTCATCTTCTAAAGCTATAATTGTTGCTTTTTTCTGATTTGTTCAGTAGTTTGCAAAGCAAGGGATAATGCAGCCAGTCTGTGAGATTAACATCTGAAATGCTGTGAAGTAGTCATTCAAATAAACAGCATTTTCAGAGGCGAATTTTCATCTGGTTTGTTTCAGATTCTTTTAAGTGCAGGTTTTTTATCTTACCTAAGAAGCACCTTATCCTATTTGATGTTTCCTTCAGAATTTCAACATCTAGAAACCCTTGTTTTAATAACGTACTGAGATTACATTTTAAACCACAAGATGGCAGTTTGGAGGAACAGTGTGTAGTAAAGTAGGATACTAATAAGTCAGTTACAGATGTACTCTAAACTTCAGAATAAAATAAGGACTGAGGAATGTTCAAACTCCTTGTTAAAACTAGTCTCTTAACTAAGCAGAGGGAGTTAATTTGACTTTATCTTTTTAGTTGTTACTTAAAATACATTTTCATGTATTAATGTAATTGAAAAAGCCATCTTCTCAGTAAATCCAATCTCTTCATTGCAAAAAATAAACTGCTTTGTGCTTCAGGGCCTAGCACACATTAAATTACTTTTTGCAGGTGACTTTGACATCTATAGAACTAGCTTTTCTTTTGTCCACTTGAAGGAAGAAGAATTTGAGGAAAGATCAGTCCTGAGCATCAGGGCCCAAGAGAAGGGCATGGAGCTGTGTGAGGGAGGGGCAGGGAAAGGGTCTGCACCAGAGGGCGGTGGGCACGGCCCTGATCTGCTGCAGCTCAAGGAACGTTTGTGTTTGGGTGGTCATTTGTGGAGCCAGGATTTGGACTTGATGATCCTTGTGAGTCCATTCCAACTCAGGATAATCTGTGAAGAGTTGGTGTTTCCTTGTGAATTAGCGTGTCAATGAATTTCAGAGAAATATTGTCACATGCAAGAGGTAGCAACAGTGTATCGCTTAATGCCCTGAATGTGTGTGTGAAATATAATTGTCCAGGCAAACAAGCATATCAAGATCTTGCAATCCTTTGTCAAATGTCTGCTAAATGATTAAGAGATTGAAATTTTAACTACTGAAATTAGGAGTTTACAGGCTCCCTAAATGTAGATGAGTTTCTATCGATTCAGTTTAATTTTGCAGCTTGAGGGATAATAGTTTAAGTAAAAAACGTAGGGAGTCTGCAAAATATTAAGATCTTATTTGATTTTTGACATTATTAACCATAATACTTAAAAATTAACACTTTTTTTTTTTTTTCTAGATTCAAAGAGCCCATCTTCTCCTTTAAATTTGGCTGACCAAAGGCTTCTTGATGCTAGTAGTCAGTTTCAGAAGAAACAGGGCAAAAGCAATATTGATGTCTGGTGGCTCTTTGATGATGGAGGTGATGTACTTCATATTTTAAAACTGTTGAAAAGAATTATTAAAGCGAAGTGATTTAAAACTAACTCTTAATAAATACTTTTCAGATGGTACATGTACAAGCTACTGTTAAATTCTCATATGAAACTATACTTTCTGACACATTCCTAAATTCTGATCAAAATGCAGGTTTGACACTATTGATTCCATATCTTATTACAACCAAGAAAAAATGGAAAGAGTGTAAGATAAGAGTGTTCATTGGTGGAAAAATAAACAGGATTGATCATGACAGAAGAGCGTAAGTTTACCTTCAAAATTTTCATTTCAAATGCTTGAAGAATAAGTGAGACTCTTCTTAGTAGCTTTTTAAGTTGTTTTTTTATCAGAGGTGTAACCATATTCTATTTCTCCTCTCCATAAAAATGTTCCACTGCCACTAAATAGCGTTGAGCAAGTTGCTTCAAAATAAAATACTATTTCTGCAGCAGTCTGGCAGTAACATTTTCTCTAGTTTCTAACTAAAGAACTTCCTGGGAGAGCTTGAAGAGAGACTTAAAGGGAAAAGTTCTTATGTTTAAAAACACTTAGTTTGCTGTTCATTTCTTAGCAGTATGCCAGGTTTATAGCAATACTAGCCAGACAATTTCATGTTTAAGTTGCCTTTTTGAAAAAGTGTTTTTATTACCAAATACTTACCTGTTTACCCTGGGGAAAAATCTGAATATACATTAAGGCTTTTTTTTTTTGTACAGGATGGCTACCCTGCTCAGCAAGTTTCGGATAGACTTCTCAGACATTATGGTTCTTGGGGATATTAATACTAAGCCAAAGAAAGAAAAGTAAGTCTCAGAAAAACTCAGCTTGTTTTTGAGTTCTTAATCTATTTCATGAATAGAATAGAGTTGTTTCCAACATAATAAATGTGAGAAAGAAGGCAGTATGACATCTGGTGCCTTACAGAAATCTAGAAAGTAAACTAAGGAAAAACTCTTGCATCTAAGAACAGACCATTTCTTATTCTTCAGATCTCCAGCACTTAGGGCATTACATTAAACTTGAAGTTGTCCAGTTGCTAGAAATCTGGAAAAATCTTCTTTAAAAAGAGAAATACTTGCAAAAATGTAAATTCTTAGTCTTACTGGGTGCTTAGTTAAATGTAATGAAACTTCATCTTCAAATAGTCTGATCTGTTTTTCCTTTAGATTAGCTTGGATTTGTAACTTACCTAATTATGATCATGTATGTGAAAACTGATTTTCAAGATAAAAAAAAAAATACAAATTATGTGGAATATATCAAGTATCTAAAATGGTAGAGTTTTAGAGTACTCCTAGTGCTCTAGTATGTTTGTCTTGATTCTTGGGATTCCAGTACTGTAAAATGTGTAAATCAAGAGGCAGTGTATAAAAAATTGAGACTGTAGAATTTCATGCAAACATTTTTATTTCATGTGAGTGTTTAATAAGCTCTTTCTTCTGCAATCATTTTTCTTCTCTCTTTGAGAACATTCTCTACAATAAATCCAAAAGCTTATTAAAGAATCCAATTTAAGTTAACAGTATCTGTAAATTAAGTAGAAAGAATATTTATACAGTGCTGAAAACATTAGAGGTAACAGAATACTGTTAATGGGGTCTGAGTTCCAATTTGACTGCATGGATGCTTAGGTATTAGTACGTTCTGATATTACTATATATCCTAAATGGTGTTAGTGGTTTTGAACTTTCTGTACTGTAATTTTCAACCATAGAAGCTGGTAATGTCTTGTTCTTTATATTTAAAAAAAAATTGACATTTTTTTATTTCATTGGATGTAACACATACTTTTCAGTGTCCTCTGCTAAACTTTTCATTGATGTTCTGACTTCTCATGTCATAAGCTGCAGTTATTCAAAGATAAGTTACATTTCATAACATGCAGCAGCCTTACTTTACTATTGAAGTATCATAATGTGGGTGGAGAAAGTAGGATAATTGTAAATCACCCTAAAAAAGTTGGGTGCTAATGCTAATTCAGGGCCTGAATTGGTGATTGAACACCTGGTGGGAAGGCAGGGCTGACCCAGGGTAGCTCAGGTGCATGCAGTGCACCTGAGTGACTGGAAGGGGTGGATGCTGGCCTCATTTAAGGGTTGGCAGTGAAGAGGAGGGTATTTCTCCTAGGAGATCCCTGTCTATCTGAGGCCTTCCAAAGGTAAGCAGCCCTTTTCCTTAATTTCTGCTGCGTTTGGGCTCATTCTCATTCGCTGCAACCAAAGACTTTGCCACCCCGCTATTATCGCAGTTATTTCCATCCTACTGCAGCATTACAGTGATCTGCTTTGAGTAGAAATCAATATCCTTCTGGCCTTCAGAAAGCTTTCTTTTGAAGCTGTTGATACAACATCCAAGTAGTTTCAAAATGACAGCTTATATTCTTGAAAAATAAAAACTAACAAAGAGGAAACAAAATTGCACTGCTTATTTGCAGTTGAATGCCACGTTTAGGCTGTTACAGGAAGATGAAAAGAGCAGAATGAGAACAAAGCTGAAGCCCTAGTGACACTAGCATGAGACCTGATAGTAGTTTAGGGCTTTTTTGTTTGTGACCTGTAAATTCGTCTTCAAACTTAATAGTTTCTTCCAAATTCTAGCTTAGAAAGTATACAGTAACTAGTCATCAGCTTTGGAATAACCATAGTAAAATTCTTTAGCAAAACTCGTTGGTTTCTTTTAAACTGTCTAAAGCTACATTTGCACCCAGAAAACAGTGAAAGTCACTAATTGAAGTTAAACTGCAGTATCTGCTTTTACCTTAATTATGACATATATAAGTAGCTGATTCAATATTACAAGTACAGACAGTTTGCTCAGGTTTTACTTGTCAATCAAACTTTGTCTAATAGTGTGAAAGTCATTTTTGACACAGTAGTGCCATGTCTGTTTTAATGACTGTTCTCTTGATGTTACAGTATTGCAGCTTTTGAAGAAATGATAGAGCCTTTCAGACTTCATGAAGATGATAAAGAGCAAGAAGTTGCAGATAAGATGAAGGAGGATGAACCGTGGAGGATAACAGATAATGAACTTGAACTTTATAAAACAAAGGTTCTGTATTCTTCAGTATGTTGTATTAAACACCATAAAACTTTATGTTCTACTGTATTTGTGCACATAATGCCAGCTGGCTGATTATTGCTATTTTGTGTTTCTGTAGTTGCTTTCATGAGTAACTACTAGAAAGCATCTAAATCCAATGGGGGGGATCACTTATAGTTAAAAAAAAAAAAAAGTGCATTTTATGATTGTCGGCCTAAACCATTGCATTTTTTTTTTTTTTTTGTGCCAAGTCTACCCTTCAGTGATTCTTTATTTAAAAAAAAAAAAAAAAAAAAAAGCAAACACTACCTACCTAGTTGTGGTTTTAGTGGATGTTTAAAGATGTGATGGTTTTTCTCAAGTGGTCGTGCACTGTACACTCCAGAAAGATTCCTTTTCCAGAGCTTCTGTGGAGGAGACTTCAGCTGCATCTTATAACAGGATGCAGACACAGACAAGAATCTGAACACAGACTGATTAAAATTTCAGTGTTTGGAAGCTCTTAAAGATGTACCACCCATAATTTTATTTTCTGCTTCCTGAATTTTTTTCAACTTCTCTGAGGATTTGCAATAGAGAATAAATGGGAATGATAGGTCATGCTGCACTGCAAGTGTAAAAAAGCAAGGATTTAAACAGCATGTAGATACAGATTGACTGGCAGCTTATGGCAGGACCTAGTAACTGTGTATTACAAAGATACTCGAGGAAAAAACTTACTACTTTTCTTATAGATGCTTTGCTGTCCCTCATATCTTACCTGCAAAACTTTTTTAAGGAGATCATAGCAGTAACTTATCCATTTCCTCCTGATAGCTTATTTGTTACTGCAGCTAACAGGCCAGGAAGAGACTTAAGCTGAGCTGAGAACAGCAAAACTATAAGAAGTAGCTAATAATGAATGTTTTTTGCAAGTTAGTTGACAGAAAAGAGACCTGCAGATGACTGTGAGTACAAGCTAAGAAAGAAAATGGCAATAGGAAGAATGGGAGGAACATCTTCAGCAGAAGATGTTAAGAAAGAACAGAGTGATAAAAAAGGAAGTACGTTCCTAAAGATCAGGATCACTTCTGAAATGCCTCCTTGCTCTGAGTGTGCAAGATACCTTGAGAGCACAGGGGCTCTTGCTTCCAGCACCTTTGGAGGATGATACTGTTAGTAGAAAATCTGTATTGAAGTTGGCTTTTGTGGTACTTGGTTTAAGTTTTCACATTTTCTCAACCTAAGTCTTAGAGTCATAGATATTTAAGGGAAGTGAAAAGGGTGCCAAACTGAATAGAAAGTACATGCTTTCTAGAAATAATTCATACCAAAGAATTATTATAACTTACCTTTTTTGAAATGAACATTTTTTAACTTCTAGAAGATCTCTTCCTAACAAATTTCATTTTTGTTACAGACTTATCGGCAGATCAGACTAAATGAGTTGCTCAAAGAACACTCAAGTACAGCTAATGTAATTGTAATGTAAGTAAATGATTTTTACTGTTATTCTAATTCTAATTAATATAGAATTCTAATATGAACTATTAAGTATATGTAAATACAGGTTGGGAAAAATGCCAAGGCATAAGATTGAATTATAGAAATAATCAAGAAGATACCAATGCTGGAAATATTTCAGAACACTTTAGAATTATGGAGCTAGACTGCAAAAATAAGCTTTTTTGTCTTCCAAAACTCCCAAATTTTTCTTTACAGGGCTGCTCTCAATGAGCTCTTCTCCCAGTCTGTACCTGGATCTGGGATTGTCCCAACCAAGTGCAGCACCTTATACCTGTCTATCTTGAACCTCAACTTCTTTAATGAAGTTATCTGCATTGTTGAGCAGCAGGTCCATTAATACTTCACCTCTAATTGTTCTGTCCCCTACCTGGAAATTGACCTTGGCAGATGCCAGGAGTCTCCTGGGTTGCTTTATCTGACCATATTGCTTTCTGAGCAGATATCTGCATGGTTGAAGTCCTCCATCAGCATGAGAACCTGTGAATGTGATGCTTCTTGTAGTTGTAGCTGAAGCAAGACTATCACATCCACAAGCTCCCCTTGATCAGGTGACCTACAATAGACCTGACCATCAGAAGTCCATTTTGAGCTGGTCCCTAATTTAACCCACTAGCTCTCAACCTGTTCATGGTTGTTTGAGAGGCCATATTCTCTGCATTCCATCCACTTCTTAACATGAACAGCAACCCCTCTGCCTGTTGTGCCCTGCCTATAGCTTCTGAAACAGAATTTGTGAACCTCAGTACAGTGTTCCTGTGGTGTAATTTGTCCCACTGTGTTTCTGTGACAGCAGTTAAGTCAGAGGTTTCTAATTGCACCTTGGGTTCCATCTTACCTGCTTATCTTCCAAGCTATATGTGTTGGTGTAGAGGCACTAAAGCTACCTTCTTAGAGAGCCCCTCCCCTAATTTCTTTGGGACAATTATTTTTTTTTTTCCCTGCTGCTTTCTAATGTTTCGGTGTTCCCTGGCCCTTCTCTGCCACACAAGTATATCCTCTTTCTTTTCAAGTCTAGTTTAACTTCTGCTGGTCAGTGCAGTCAGCTTGCTGTCCAGAACACTGTTGCCCTACCTGGGCAGTAGGTTTTGTCCCATCCATTGTCAACATGACTAGTCTCTGGAAGGAGTCCAAGACAATAGTATCCAAAGCCGTGAGAATGGCACCATCTGCACAGCTGTTTGTTCATGGTCCATTTGCCTCCTCCTACCAGGGTCCCAGTCTCCAACTGGGATGACAGACAAGAACACTACCTGTGCTCCTTATCCCTTCAAAATCTTTCCAAGGGCCATAAAATTTCTTCCAATATTAAGTAATATCCTTGTTGCAGCCTAATGTGATCTACTTTGAAAAAGTAAGAGTGGATAGTAGTCCTCTGGCTTTATTCTACCAGATAGTTGCTTGATATCATTCATGTGGTCTCCTGGCAGACAGCAAACCTCTCTGGAGAGACTGTCTGGATGGCAAATGGCTGCCTCACTGCCTCTTGGTGAGAAATCCCCATTTACTAAAATGCTTTGCCATGTTTTGGTGGCACTGGTTCTAATACTGGTCCTTGGTTAGATTGCTTGTGGTACCACATGAAGGTAAAGTTAGAACAGGGCAAGTAGACTTAAAGTAGTTGTTTGAAGGAAAATATTATGGTGGTAGTTTGAAGGAAAATAGTATGGATATTTTGGAATGCCTGTGAGAAGGCTGCACCAATGTAGGATCATTTAAAAAAAAAAAAAAAAAAAAGCTTTTTAAAATTTTAAAATCAAGAGTAGTAGTAAGTTCTCCTAACTAAGAAGAATTCCCCATTAAGCTACTTGAATACTAAATAGTGGTAGAAGGCCAAAAGTGAGGTGTGGATAGAGCCTGTTGTTGATTAAGATAGCAGGCTCTTTAACTTACTGAATTCTGAGGGGAAAAAAAAAAAAGCAAAAACTTGCGAGGTTAGGAAATTTGTCTTAACCTCTTTGCAGAATTGTACTTTCATTGTATATGATAAATGTGTTGTTTTGGTTTGTTTGTTTTTCCCTAATGTGAACTTCAGGAGTCTGCCAGTTGCACGAAAAGGTGCAGTTTCTAGTGCACTCTACATGGCCTGGTTAGAAGCTCTTTCGAAAGATCTGCCACCAATTCTTCTTGTTCGTGGGAATCATCAGAGCGTTCTTACCTTCTATTCCTAAGATACTGCTCCTGAGACAGCTGTAAGGACATGGTACTTAAGTGCCCTGGGAAGAGTGACTGATGTGGTCTATTGATTATTAACATCACAAAGGCAAAAAGTGACTCTTCTTTCACTATTTCACTGACTTGAAAGCACACAAGGAAAGTCAATGTATTTCTAAAGTTGTGACATCTTCAGTTTTATTCTATATTTTCTGTAATTTAATCTTGCTTAATGGGGGAGGATTCCTTGTTAGACTGAAGAACAAGGCAAGCTTTTTGTTTGCTATTTGAATAGCAGCAATAAAAGTGGTTTATTTTTAATCAATGAAAGGATTATAGATTTATAAAAGCCTTTTAGCCTTGAGGTGCCTTCTGAAATTAACCAAATCTCATCCATACATCCTACTTTGTAAATTTATATAGAATGTCAAAATCTGCCTTCAACTAAGACTTTAGATCAGACTTTCTTTAGTTTTTAGTCTCTTCCATATTACAATAAAAATGAATGCTGCTTTTTAGTCTTCCATTGAGTTATTAGTTCTTAGTACTGTATGTTTTCTATTGTCAGAAAGTTTTGTTGATTTTTTTTTTTTTTTTTTTTTTTAATTATTATTACTATTATATCTGTTAGACTTTAAATAAAAGCAAGAATTGAGGCAGGTCAGTTGAACAAAGACAAATCCTTGATGTTGTCTGGACTTTGTTTTACTTTAACTGTTACAAAATTTAGCTCTGTTCCAAAATAAAACTGCTGTCAGAGAGGATCCTATTTCTCAAATTTGACATTGTGCTCTTTTTTGGCATTAGTCTGAAATACACAGCTATAAAGTTAGCTGGTGTTGGTAAAGGATGCTGTGTAAATCCATAGTTCTAGTATGAAACAATTCATCTTATGGACTAAGGCCATTCATCTCCTTAAAATTGGAAGAAAGGACCTGTCCTAGTTCCTGGCCTATTGATGTTTTGGTGTCACTTAGAACTTATTTTGAAACAAAACTCAACTTAAGGCTTAAATGGGGATAATATGAGCAACGTGATGCTATCTAACAGAAAACAGTAAACACTATCTGGAATCTTGCTATCCAAAACAAAAAAAAAAAAAGCAAAAGCTAACGTTCTCTTGCATTTCTCTATAAATGGTTAAAAGGACCACTAGTTACTAGGGGGAGATGTTTTTAGTCAATTCATTCAGTTGTCAGAAAATATACCTAGTCTTATTAAAATATACTCAGGTTTGATCATCTGCCAGGTTAGATTTTTTCCATGCATTCTACTTTATACATTTTATATGTTCAGTCAAGAAACTGCCAATCTTGTGTGCCCTCTCATTGTGTATTTTGACAACTTCATATTTTAGTCTACTATGTGAACACCTACACAAGAAATTACACTTGGGCCTTTATATGGAGGTTAGTAATGTGAGCTGTTTTTTAAATTCCTATGTATTTTGGATAGAAAGGATTGCCTAAAAACATTTCACAAGCTTTTGATATTAGTGTTGGATGTGCTAAGAGATCAGTTTACCAATGCTTCAGTGACTTTAATTTAAGGATGCACAGAAAAGTTGTATTATGCTAAATACAGGATCAAATTAAAATGTAACTGTTCCTTTTGGAGAATAAAACAATAAGTCATTGTGTGGCAACATAAAGCTTCGAGTTATGATTCAAGATAAAAATATACATGTATTCTACACAGTGCAGTATACACTGTCAATTTCTTGGTGAACTACAAAGATGTTTCCATTATTTCCATCAATTGGATTTAAGTCTATTCAATCATTTTGCCTAAACAAGAACTTGCATGTATTGCTGCTAAGTGTGAGATAACTGATGCCAGCATGAACCCAGCTTCTTACAGTAAAAATTATGGTAAGACAGTTTGCAGTAGGAGTTCTACTTCCTTCTAAGTGAGGGGTGGGTATCAAAATTAATTAATTACAGGTTTCATTATGGTTTTTGGGAAACATGAATGTCACATTGTGAGTATGGAATCATTGCCATGTTTCTTCTTGTTTTGTGGGTTTTGCTCTTTTGAACAGACAGTAAGGCATAGACTTAGTGCTGCTATCTAAAAAAAAAAAAAAAAAAAATTGTGCACAGGTACACTTATTTAAAAGGTTTTTTGCCCATTCAGGAAATCATTGCTTGTGATCTGTAACACAGAAACCAAATGAAGTGTGTGTATACATGCATATATGTGTATAAAATTATATGAAATATATCTAAATATGCATATGGGGATAGTTAGGATGATGTCTGTGAAATACTGTAGGATGCTTTTCGCATATGCACTCTCAGAAGTCCACTAACGCTAGGCATGAGGTCAACTTCCAAGAAACTTCAGTAGTTAATAGTAATTGTTAGCAACAAATGTTAGTTAGTGGCAGTCACTCCTGCTTTGATTTTGACGCCAAATTTAGTTAAGTTCCAATCGTGGTTAATTACTTGAAAAATGAAATATCACTGACACAGAAATTCATACTTTCTATAGGTTAGGTTTCTTTGTATGGATTTAGAAAGACAGCTGGAGAAAATCAATTATTTATTTGCTCACTCTGTATTTGTATTTAGGTTTCCTTTTACATACATTCTTTTTATATGCTTTTCTGACATAGCATATTTAAAAATAACTGAAAATAATTTAAAGGTTTGAGCGTTCGTGGGTAATGACCCACTTGGTTTGAAGATGTAATATTTGATACTGTACTGTAACTGTCACACACAAATGCTTTTCTAATGTTTTAATGTAACTATTGCAGTTAATACTTTGTACCATGGGGATGTCACTGCAATAAAAGGAAGTGAATTCAATACAACTGAGTTGTCTAACAAGTAGCAAATCGTGTTCATAATTTAACTGATTAACTTCTAATAGTATTTTCTGCTTATTGTATGCATCTGCTATTTCTTTTATTGTGGAATTTGCATAGGATCGTTACACAGATGTCATTCTGTTGTGCAGCATAGGCTGACAAATGCTTATTTGTGGATGAAATGCTTGCCACTGCCTAGAGAGTTGGTTCCATGCGAAAAATAATCCCAAGGCATCTCGTGACATACCAGACACTGGACTAATCAGCAGTATGTGGTATATTTAAGCTGGAATGTAACCATTTCAAAATCTGTTTCTGTTACCTATGTAATATGTGAAGGAAAAACTTCTCTCATACTGATAGCACACTGGGATACAAGGAAATGTAACTTCAAAGCACAATTAGAAACGGCACGTACATAGAGCCACTGAAGAACTGTTTAACCTTATCTATTGTGATGTCTCAGAGGATGGCTGGATGACTGCAGTTTTGAAGGTTAACCTGTAGTAATAATTTCAAACCACTTATCTATGTCCTTAATTTAGTAAATACATTTTCGTATCTATTTAAATGTAGGCCACAGGACTAAAACTTGGAGAAAGGAAAATCTTGTTTAACCTAAACTGTCATTGCCTCTAATCTGCCTTATATGCAGGTAAAGAGGTAAAGAATAAGGCATGTATTGGCTTTCTGAAGTTGATTTATGTGATGAAGAAATTATTTACATAAACATATACTAGCTGTACTCACAGGTAAACAGCTTCGCTGAAGGAAAATGGGATCAAAGCTGATTCAGCTGCTGAGCAGTGAGAACACATGATGCACAATCACAGAATGATTGGGTTGGAAGGACTGTAAGGGCTCCCCAACCCTGTGCTGTGGGCAGGGCTGCCCAAGGCTCCATCCAACCTGGCCTTGAGTGCTGCCAAGGATGGGGCAACACAGCTTCTCTGGGCAGCTGTGCCAAGCAGATGCTGAATGGAGAACAGGTGGTCTCTTGCTTCAGTACTGCTGCCTTGATTCATTTTTGGATGAAAACATCTGGATCTGGATTTTGGGGTGTTTAGCAGTGCATTATCACGTCTCTTGTTATGCTGCCTGTTGACAGCATGCAGTAGGTTTTCAGGTTTAAGACAGGTTTAGTTTCAGGTTTAGTTTGCCTGTCTTTAGAAGGGAGAGGAGCAAGGTGGTGGAAATGATCACTGTTAACTTCTGAACCAGAATGTTAAAGCAGCAGTAAATGCCTCTTAAAGCAAAAGGGGGGCGACGTTTCTGTTAAAACATAAGATGCTCTGAGCTCCTTCCCTCCAAAGAGCCATGTTCTGCCCCAAGCTCAACGGCTTCTAAATGTTCCCTAATGCACAAGATCTGTCATGAGATAGATGAACTTTGTAGTATAAGCCCTCAAAGTTCAGGGGTTGGTGTGCTTCTTAGCAGACACAAGCACTTACCAACGTAACACCAATATTTTGCTGGAAAAGTATTGACTTCAGCACCTTGCCTGTTTGTATACTCTGGTGTTTGCTAATGCATAGTGTTGTGTACTGGAAGTGTATTTTTACTGTGTTTTTGTAAAACCTTGCAAAGTATGGTACTAACAGTGCCCAATAGCATTTACATCCACGTGCAAGAGGAGGAAGGCTGCGTGTTCCCACCCCCTGGGGACTTGGAAAACTGGCTGTGGATCCAGTTCTGGTGGGGAATTTAGGGTCTGGGCACCTCTTCTCTAGTCCTTCAGTTTCCATATAATAATAAAAAATGATTATTTCAAATCTACTGATCCTGTTTGTAATGGAAGGAAAATGTTTTCTCTGACTAATTTGTGAATAATTCAAACTATAGTAACACATGGTGGCACTGTTGTCTTTCAGGTAATGAACAAAACTGCACTGTCAGACAAATACACTCAGTTTTACACTGTTCCTGTTATTCTACGGGCTAAATGACTCACTACTTTCAATAAATTTGATGTATATCACCATAATGGAACTTCTTTGCAATACGTATTTCATAATTCTGACTGAACTGGGCAAGAAGAGTAGACAAGTTGTTTATTTTTTGTTTTCCTTTTGTTGTCAAGATACTGTTTCTGTTACAAAGAATGTACCAGTCTACATGCAGGTACTGCTTGTTGATTTTGAGTAGCCTCTAGCACACAGCCACCATTTCACAAAATGAAGTGACATCCAATTTTCATAGTTATCTTCATCTGTGTTAACTAGTGAGCCAAGATAATAAAATCTCTGGTTGGAAAAGACCCTTGAAACACAGTGAGTAGTTTGACTGATGTTCAATTTCATTTCAGAGATATCTATAACATTTTCATCAGATATTGTTGCTTCATTCATAACAAGCAAGACAAATATCCATCGCCCTCTAGTAGTGTCATTCTCAAAACAACATTCCCTATTTGAAGGAGTGTGGAGGCAGAATTGTGCAACATTTGCCGCTCTCAAGCTTATTAAGCTTGAGAATATCACTCTTTTGAAATGCTTTGTGGTTAATAATAAACCTTGGGATGCCTGTCAGCAATTAATTTTGTCTCTGCAAAGCAGATGGGGAAAGGGAGTCGTAAGTGAAGGATTTCCACAGCTCTTGGGGAAAATTAGAGAGCTGAGATTAGCCTTGACGTGTCCTCACTCCTTGTTTGATCATCTGCAAATTACAAGGGTCTCAAATAATTCCTTGCTATTGCTGTTACAAATAGCACAGATTATGAATTGTAGCAAAAAAAAAAACAAAAACAAAAAAACACCCCATGCAACAAAACTACCTGAAGCAGAGGGTGGAATGTACATATAGAAGGATGTTCCTGGTAATGTGGTGTACGATGAATTTGCTGTTCTATTTATGCAGGGTATGATGAGCAGTGGGTATATATAAAAAAAAAAAACGAAAAAACAGGACAAACAGACATTAAGTGCAAAAATAAAAGCTCAAGAGTAAAGCATCAT